GTAGTCGTATCTAAAATTATTATCTAAAGTGTAAATGTCGGTGGTGTATCTGTCTTTTGATTTTATGTTCTCTAATGTAACTACATTGCCTGATATATTAACTATTTTAAACCGATAATTAACATTAAACTTCGTATTTCCTACCTTCTTATACTTCCTACATATAAGCGTTTCCCCTACTTCGTATTTATCAGTTTTACCTAGGTTGCTTCTTATGTAGTTGGATACATATTTACATCTTATGTTGGTGTATGCTATGTTCTTTTCGGATGCCATTAGGTCGGCAGTCGTTTTAAAATATTTCCTTACAAAGTCGGTTATAGGAATGCGGTATATCCACATGTCGTCATACATACGGTTTAATGTGTCGCGGTTCTCATTCGCTTTTGGGTCGTCTTTCGCCCCTAGCCTCTTACAAATCTTAAGCATCATATTGTATTTAAATATTTGGTTGATACAGTCGTCTGCATATTCGTCAGGCTTTCTGGTATTGGTTAGGTCTTCAATCGGTGGCAGTTGTTTAACATCTCCCGCTCCTATAATGATTTTATCAGGATTGCTTTTAACGAACTCTCTAATCCTATTTAAGATATATAAACTATTCATATAAATCTCGTCAAACACTATACAGTTAAATTTACTATGGTCAAACTCTGGCAGTTTCTCCCCGTCGCCAACAGGAATAGCAAAGAATTTATTTGTAATGATTGCTTCATCGTCTATATTTTGCGATAAGCTGTTCTGCGGGACTACAAACAATGTCTTATAACCTAGCTTGCTAAAATGCTTTGCTATATGCGATTTACCACCACCGGCGTATTTACTTCTTATAATAAGCGGGCTCTTTTGAGTTATTTGTTTTGCTATGCTTTCGGTGTCCCACTCGTCTTTAATTTCTAGAGTTTCGTTGGTATATTCTTGTATATTAGTTAATATGTTTTCTTTCATTTTGTGTTGCTCTGTCGGTGGGATTATTGATTTACCTTTTTCGTGTCTCCATCCTCCGATATTATTGTTAAATGTTATTGCTTTCTTTGCCTTGCTTAAGTGCTCGCGCCTAATTACAAAGGCATCTGTTTTAATACTCCATATATCAACTCCATTTTTAATTAAATTTGTATAATCCTCTTGTATTTTATGATTATGGATTTGAAGCAGTAGCTCCTTTATGTAAGTATATCCGTTTCTTAATGCCACTCTATCAGTCACTGTTAAGCAGTAATATTTTCTGTCCAATTCTTTGTCGGTTTCAAGGTCGTATCCTGTGATTTTATTAATTTTTCCTCCCACTTCTTGCTGATAATATAGCGCTTCCCTTAAACCGTCAAAGGCAAAGCTTTTTGAAGATTTGTTCGTCCCCTTCTCTAGCAATCCGAAATTCACATTTGCTATAAGCTTTTTGATTTTAGCATCTTCTGGGAAGTGGTCTGATATTTCGGTTGCCCATAACTGTTTAATAAGCTTTGTGTAATTCACCTTATACACTCTAGAAGGTTCTTTGTAATATAAGATTTCGCATTTGTCTGCGTAGTGCTTTAGAAACTTACCATATACCAAACAGTGTGTCTTATTAAAACATAACGCTTGTTCTTTAGGTTTAACTAAAAACAAAGTCAGTTCGTGAAACTTACTGTAATCGTGGGATTTGTAATTAAAATGCTTCCATATATCAAACTGATTAAAGACGGGAATCTCGGTAATTTGGTTGAAGGCGTGGGTGTAAGCTTTTCTTACATCTATTTCGGTGGTGGTTTCAGACATAAACCAGTATTTGTCGTATTTCTCGGTTCTTTGGTTAAACACCTTGTAGAATTTATTTATTTCTCCCACCGGCGGGATTGTTCGGCACTCCTTAAGAATTTGTATATCGGTTTCGTTGTAATAGGATTTATGTAAGGGGTTAAATAATGCCTTATTGAATTCATACATTGCTTTAGACATATTGTTGTAAATCTGTTCCGTCCTTACGGTTATAGTTCCATCAACTGAGCTCGTCACTAGATTTTGTGTTTTAATCCTGTATCTTATGCTCTTCTTTTTAATGTAGAATTTGAAATACAAATCGGAAACGATACAACCAGTAAATCTCACTTGTGGCTCATACCCTGCCATCTTGCTTTCGTAAAACAACTGGGTCAAATCGTTGCCATCATATATTAGCGTATAGTTGTCTTTCTCTCTGAACTTCTTAAGGTCATCTAATGACTGTATCATTTTACATTCAGTGGGTTCGTCATTTTCGTTTATGTGGTAATCTGGGGAAGCCTTAACCGATACATCTTGATTCTCGCGGATTGCTACCATCTGCCTTAACATCTGTAGGTTGTCGTTCGCAGCGTAGATATGATTGTTTTTAACTAGGGCGTATAATGTTGGTATATGGTGGTTGTATTTGGTAGGCGAGTATTTGAAAATCGGCTTTATGAAGGAGTTGAATATCCTTACTTGAATGCCGTAATGTTCAAACACCGGCACCATATCCTGTATTGATGCCCCGTTGGTTTTGAAATCCTCTTCGGTTTTATTCATCAGTTTTAACATACTTTTTTTTGTTAATCTGTTCTTCTCCCTTCGCTTCTCGCCCATTAGCGTATCCTTATACCAATCGGTGATGGTGTTGAACCAACATTCGTTTTCTTTGTAATGCTTTACATTTATCGCTTCCTTAAAGGTTTCAAACTCGGGGTCTAAAGGCGTTTGAATGTAGATGTTATACATACTTAAATTAGCTGTATTTGTTAGTTTTTCGTTTTTAGGGTCAAAATTGACATCATCATCAACGCGTTCTACACTGAGTAATTTAATACAATCGATGTAGTCCTTATGAAATTCTAACTCGTCATATGCTTCTCGGTCTGTTTGTAAGGTTTGAAACAACTTAATAAACAGTCTCGCAGTGTCCTTCTCGGTGCGAAATACCCTTTTTCTAACTATGTCCTCTATGTAATTAGTAGATTTTACATTCAATGTTTTCGGGTCTTTCCATAAAATGACGTAGGGTCTGCCTTTGCTGTCTTTAAATGCTGTCTTGAGTTCTTTTTCCCTCTTTTCATCCTTCAGTCTGTAAAACAACGCATCTACCGAGTAGGTGTTAGAAGTATTTCGCTTTTTGTTTTCCTTCTTTGCTTCCCGCATTCGTTGCCCGAGTGGTTCTTTGTCGTGGTGTTTGTCGTGGATTTTGTCGTATGTGTTGTTTGCTTTCGTTTTTTGTTTGTCGGTTTTTGCGGTTATAAACTGTCTGATTAGATTGTCCGCGGTGGTGAATTGTGCTATTTTACGGTCTTCATAAAAATTAATTAGATTTTGTATTTTTTCTCTGGTGCCTTGTGTGAGGCGATTTTTGTAGTTGTCGTAGGTTGTTTGTAAAGCTCTCGTGTTACGCTTAATATTTTTACTCATAAAGCAATATAATTACAATATAAATTAAATTTCTTTTTAAATACTTTTTCTAAAGATTTGTTGCTATATCTAGAAACCCATATCTAAAGATAAAATATTAATATATAGTATAGTAATATGACTAACTTTAAAAGTCCCGAGGATATGACAATGGATGAGATTAAGCAACAACTGGCATTGTATCAGAGGCTTTATTATGCTAAGCGTAGGGAAGACGAGCAGTTTATGCAAAAGAAGCGCGAGGCAAGCTTAAGGCATACCCAAAAGAAGAGAATTAAGGAATATGTAGAAGAAAATAAGTTAAGCGAAGAAGACTTAACGCCCACACAAATTAACGAAATCATTACAGATAAGAAGCCTAGCGGGAAGAAGCGCGGAGCACCAAAATACGATATGAACGAATACAAGGTGATTATGCCTAATGCTGTTTAAAAAATGATGATTTAATTAATTATATTAAATCATTATTTTTTGTTACTTATTTTTCTGAGTGAGAAACAGAAAATTATTAATGATGTATATTTTGATAGAGCCGGTTATGGTGCAAAACAAAGGACATTAAGCGAAGCACGGGAGAAGGACAAAACTATAACAATGGCAGATATAAACGAGTTTTTTAGAAAGAATGTTGAACAAAAAAGAAAGCCGGTAGGCCAAAACAGTTTTATCGCCCCTCATTCTGCCTACGAGTATCAGATGGATTTGTTTTTTATAAACGATTTGGATGAACAAAAGTTTAGGGTAGGCGTTTTGATGATTGATATTTTTGATAAATTCATGTATGTAGTGCCGATAAAAAGCAAACAAGAAGGAGATGTAGCGAGTGGAATGATTGAATGTTTAAATAAGATGGGTAAGAAACCTCAAATAATTTATACAGATGATGAAACTGCACTTTCCACTGATGCAATACAAAAATATTTGAAGGATGAGAACATAGAACATCATAGAACGAGGGCGCACCCAAATTTTAGCGAAAGAGCCATCAGAACTTTTAAAGATTTATTGTATAGGAGAGTTGAAGCAGATGAGAAAAAAGGAAAACAAAACATCCAATGGACTGATTACATACTAGAAATATTACTAACCTATAATAATCAAATGAAGCATTCTGCAACGGGATTCACGCCGAAAGAAGCCCGAAAGCCCAGTAACCAATTCAAAGTGAAACTAAATTTAACGATGAAGGGCAAAAAGAACCGCGTATATCCTGAACTAAATGTAGGAGATGAGGTTAAAATATTTAGGAAACGAAAACCAAATGAAAAAGAAAGAGTGGGAAATTACAGCCAAAATATTTATACAATGGAAAATATTGAAAATAAGTTAGGGCAAAATTATTACAGAGTTGAGGGCAATAATCGGCAGTATCTTCGTTTTGAGTTGTTAAAAGTTTAATAATCTTATGAATTTATTTTCTAAAGAAAAAACCATCTAAAGAAATAATACCTATATATATTAACAGGAAAATGTTCAAGTTTGAAAGCTGTTGGAAGTGCGAAGAAATGAACAAAGTAATGGTGTTAAATAGCAAGTTGCCAATTGATATATGTAATCGCGTATGCGAATATGATAAGTGCGATAAGTGTAGGAATAAGATAATGGAAGAGGAAGATTTAGATGAAAACCCCAGATTTTCAAAACTAAACAAAGTTCAAAAGATAATCATACACTTGAAATATCGCAATTTTCATATTGATACAAATATGGATAGGCGAAAATATAAAAACATCATCAGAAGGTCAAATAACCCGCTGCGAAAGATAATGAAGCAATTTGTAAATATCAGAAACCATTCAGACCACGAGCGTCTTATGTTTCACGGTGTATGTCACTGTATGTTACTATATGCTGTCTTTAGCAGTTTAAGTGATATAGAAAAGCTTAAAGCGGAAATCGCGCATTACAATATTAAAACCGCTACTATTAGATTTAACGGCTTTGAAATTAGTAAGGAAGTTATAGTAAAGGAAATACTACGCGAATGTTTTGATTTTTGGCTGGTCGGTTGGAGGGATTATTACAATACAACAACCGAAGAAATTATGGAGTATGTAGAGTATGTGTTTTCGCTATAGTTTCGCAACCATAACATTATTTTTTCTTCTAATGTTATGTTTGTAACCATCCTAAACCCTAAAAAATTCCGTCACATATGTTGTCGTATGTTGGTCTTTGAGTTTTTTGTTGTTTTTGTGTTTTCTTTGTTTTTTTGTGTTCTTGTCTAGGGTTTTGCCTATGTTTTGCTTACTGTTTTGCTTTTTCGTATGGTTTCGGATATTCCCTAACAATTCCAGTTACAAATTTTGGGCTTTACTGGGTTGGTTTCACGGGGCTACGTGGGTTGGTTTCACGGGGCTACGTGGGTTGGTTTAACGGGGCTACGTGGGTTGGTTTCACGGGGCTACGTGGGTCGGAAATTCCTTCGCGCGTGAGGGGGATTATTGGGCAAAACGGCCATTCAACCGTGCCCTAAACCTTATTCCCTATTATAGATATTTTATTAGAGACTACCATTTCCATTTTCAAGGGTTAGGGTTTTCAGGTTGGGAATATGGGTTTTTCTATGGGGGTATTGGTGAATGGGGTTTAGAGTGGGATTTTTCTATGTGGTGGTGTATGGGTCTTCTAATGGTTCTATCTTGTGGGTATTAGGTATAGGTTGTTATGGTTTTGGGTCTTTGGGTGAGTTATTCCTAGGGTTCTACCTATGGGTCTTGGGTGGGTTGAAGGTTGAGGCATAGGTTGTTATGGTTTTGGGTGCTAGGGGGTGGTGCATGGTTAGAAAATGGAAATGGTATCCGCTAACTAACCACGTGCGAGTTGGACCACATCGTCCCCGTGCACCAGTCCTTCGCCGCACAGGCCCAGAACCTCCAGGCACTGTGCCTCGAGTGCCACCGGAACAAAACGGCCCTGGAGTCCTCGCACGCCACGACACTGGAGTCGCGCTTCAGCCGGCGGGCTTACGAGCAGTACGTGGAATCGCCTCGACTCCCGCCGCTCGTCTTCAAGCTCAACAGCCACAAGCCGGACCACATCTGCCACGGTATAGACGTTGTGCGGTGCCGCAAGAACGGCCTGGCCCATGCCAAGTTCCCGGCGCCCATCTTCTGCCCCAAGGACAACGTGGAGCAAGCCCGCGAAGGGCACCTGGCGGACCTGACCTACGTGAGGCTTCGGGAGGACGGGCGTTGGGCGGCGTTCAAGCAGCTCCCCTACGTGGGCCAGGGCTGGTACGCCAAGCCTGCGGTGGCCTACATGCTGGAAAAGGGCCTTGCGACATGGAGCGACTTCGTGTACAGCCTGGACGCCACGGCGCACGTGGACCAGGAGTCCGTGGCCCAGGCCCTGCAGAAAATGGAGGCGGCTTGGCCGGAGGGAGAGGAGCACTACGCGAAGCTGTCGGTGAATGCCCTCATCGGGCTGTGGGCACGCAACATGAACCTCATCTACACCATGCGCACCAGCAACCACCAGTTCGACGGGTCCGGGTGCCAGCACCGGGAGCTGTTCCTGGACGCCGCGGGTGGGATGCACTGGGATCACATCTACGTGACCCAGTTGTTGTCCAACCGGAGCTGCCAGCCTGTGCACGACTTCGTGATCTCCAGAATCCGGGATGCACTCGCAACCGTGCCGTCGAGGTACCTGAAGGCCGTCAAAACGGACTGCGTCGTCTTCCAGGACCTGCCCAAAAAGTTCCAGGGCCTTGTGGACAGCCTGGTCCGCGAAAGGCATCCCGACGGCACGCCCGTGTACCGATGCGAGGAGGTCAAGGGCCTCGAAGGCCAGTATCGGATCCCCCGAATCGAGGCGGAGTGGATGTGCAACATTGACACCTGGAAGGTCGCGGAGGACCCTGTGCTCCACTGCCTCGAGGGCGGGAGCCTGCTGCTGACCGGCTACCCGGGCACCGGGAAGACCCACCTGGCGCGCCAGATCGTGACCGCCCTCCGGGAAGAAGGGTACAAGGTGAAGATCATCACGAAGACCCACTCCTCCGTGCAGAACTTTGGAACGCAGGCGGAAACGGCCGACCACTGGGCGCGGAGCACCGTCCGGAACGGCTACTGCAACATCGACTGGCTGGTGGTGGAGGAGATTACGCAGCTCGACACGGGGCTGTGGAACGACATCGCCTGCGTCTCCATGAACCGCAAAGTCAAGTTCCTGCTGCTTGGCGACTTCCGCCAGTTCCCCGCCGTCATGGACAACTTCGCGGGCACCCCGGTGCAGTGGGAGCTCAAGCACTGCCAGCTGCTCCACGACCTCACCGACGGCTGGCACCACGAGCTCACCGAGAACAGGAGGAGCGACCCGGGCATCTTCGACTTCCTCCGGTGGCTCCGGGTCGACGAGCCCCGGGAGCAGTCCCTCCCGGAAGCGGTCCGGGCGGCCCGGGAAAGGTTTCCGCGGCAAGGCGAGCCCGATGTCAGCCTGGTCATCTCCCACGCCCACCGCATCAGGATCAATGCGCGGGACAACCGTCGCCTGGCCCCGCCGGAAGCTGTGACGATCGAGTACACCGGCACTGGCCCGACGACCACCAACATGCCGCAGACCACGCGGGTCTGGCCCGGGTTGAAGCTCATCGGCGTCGGCGGCCGCGTGACCAAAGGCATCTACGTGCATGTGGCAGAAGTGGGCCCCGAGAAGATCGTCTTGGACGGCGGCGACTCCTTCACCCACGCCGCCCTCCTGAAACACACCCGGCTGTGCCACGCCATCACCTACGCCTCGTGTCAAGGCCTGACGCTCGAGGGGCGGGTCTTCCTGTCCGACACCGAGAGCCCGCACTTCACCCTCAAGCACCTCTATGTGGGGAGCAGCAGGGCCACCAGCAGCGAGCTCCTGAGCGTGCTCTAGAACGGACACTGAAAGGTCGGGGCTTCGGCCTCTCTCAGCTGCAGGTCCGTCACTTCCATCAGAAGCCCGCACTGGCCCGACATGAGCCACACCTGGCGCAAATCTGCGCGCACCTTGCATTCCCGACCGGCTAGGTCACCAGGGTCCTCCAGCGGCTGCTGGTCAGCGTCCCAGAAGTGGACTCGGGACAAATCGACCTTGAGCTTGATGAAGCTGTTCCCGCGTGAGGAGGTCTTGAGGCAGGACACGAAGCGACCCTCCACGTCCGACGCGGTGAGGTAGCGGCCGAAGATTTTAGAGTCGTGGAGGCATCGCTGGGTCAGCTGGCCCTTGATGTCCTTCTCGATCGCCTGCAGGTCTGCCTTGGCAGCCTCGTTCTGCTCGAGACACAGGGGGAGTCGCCGGGCTTCCGTCTCGCTGCCGTAGGGGCTGGGGTGCCACAAGATGCGCAGCCACTCGTGGGACCGCCAGGCCTCCGCGCACACCGGGAAGAACTTGCCGCCACACTGGTTGGTCGTAAGCTCACCGAGCTTGAGTACCGTTTTGGGCTCCATCGCTGCTTCTTTTTTTCACGACAAGAAAAAAATGCCGGCCACCGTCTCCACCGCGGAGTGCGTGGTGGCCCTGCTGGCGTGCTTGCTGGTCCTGTGGGCCTTTTCTTTTCCTTCAACAAATGAGACTCCTGGAACTCTTCAGCGGCACGGGGTCGGTCGGACGTGCCTTCGAGGCCCGTGGCTGGGAGGTAACGAGTCTTGACAACAACCCAAAAGCCAGCCCAACCATCTGCTCCGACATCCTGCAATGGGACTACAAGGCCTTCGAGCCCGGGCACTTCGACGCAGTGTGGGCCTCGCCCTGCTGCACCGAGTTCAGCATCGCACTCAAGAAGCGCCCCCGCAACCTGCCGCTCGGAGATGCCCTGGTGCTCAAGACCCTGGAGGTCATAGACTACCTCAAGGCTCGGTGGTGGGCCATCGAAAACCCGAGCACCAGGCGCCTCAAAACCCGCCCCTACATGCAAGGGCTGCACATGGACCGGGTCACGTACTGCAAGTACAGCTTCCGCTACAAGAAGCCCACGGCCATCTGGCACAACTTGCCCTGGACCCCCTCCCAGGGGCCCTGCCGCAAGGGCGACCGCTGCGAGGCCTTCCAAGGAACTCGTCACCCAGAGGCCGCGCAGAGAGGGCCCACCAAGGGGCGGCAGGGGAGCAACTCGCGGGACCAGCTCTACCGCCGGACCCCGTGGTCTGCAAGCCCCCCGCCAACGAAGCCCCGTCGGCTTCCGGGAAGACGGTGCTCCTGGTGAGCATGATTTTGGAGCAATACAGGGGCTGCTTCGAGCGCATCTACATCTTCTCGCCCTCGGCGGAGGTCGATTCCGCCTGGCAGCCTGTCAAGGATTACATCCGGGACGAGCTGGGGGTCAACACCGACCGGGAGCAGTGCTGGTGGGAGGACTGGGACGAGGGGGCGCTGCGGAAGATCATCGCAGACCAGAAGCGCATCATGCCTCAAAAAGCTCTACTCGGTTTTGGTAGTTTTGGATGATCACGCCGACAATCCGGCCGTGCACCGCAAGACGGGCGACGGAGTCCTGGACACACTGTTCATCAGGGGTAGACATTTCTGCATAAATACCTGGGTGTCCACCCAAAAGCTTCGGCTCATGAGCTCGGCCGTGCGGGTCAATGTGATGTTCTACTGCGTCTTCCGGCTGCGGAATCAGCTCGAGTTGGATGAGGAACTCTCGGCCATGCTGCCGAAGGAAACCCTGTACTCGATGTACCAAGAGGCCACGAGAGAGCCCTACAGCTTCTGGTTCGTCAATCTGCGAGCTCCCAAGGAAGACATGTTTTGGGTGCGCTTCGACCGTAAGTTTGTGCTAAATGGGGACGATCCTCAGCCAGATAGTGGGCAAGCTGCTGGGGGGAGGGCCCCTGTGCGAGAGCGAGTGCAGCAACATTAGGTGCTGCAGCAGCACGCAGGGCATCTACGACCCGAGCCGGAACTGGCCCCCGCCGGACAGGTCCCGGCAGGTCTCCGACGAGTCCACCGCCAGCGACTTCTCCGCCCGCCCCGCGCGCTTTTTCAGGCGCAAAAGAAAGCTCATGACCTCCATCTACGTGGACTCGCGCCTGCGCACGCAGGGCACAGACAGCAGCTTCTCGTTCGACATCGGCGAGTCGGTGCACATCCAGAGCGGGGCCAAGCTGGCCGTCTACAAGGTGCGCATCGCCGACGCTTTTCTGAGCACCGACCGCGGGACCTTCCTGTACTGGGAGGACGAGGTGGCCGGCACCCTGCACTACGCCGAGCTGCCTGTCGGCGCATACACGGGGCCGAGGCTTGCGGCGTGGATCAGCTCCAACTTCGCCGCGGCCACGTACACAGCCGAAACAAATGAGCTGGACGTCACCTACGACGGCGTGCGCCTGATCCTGAACGACGCCGAGCTCCGGCAGCGCTTCCCGGGCACGGGCTCCTACCCGCCGGGCGCCTCGCCCAGCAAGCCCCTGAGCATCAATCATCTTTTGGGCCCCAGCTACCTCACGGGCTCCGTGCAGCGCTTCGTCTTCGTCACGATGAATCCGTTCTCAGAGCTGTACTTGCGCTGCCCTTCGCTGGCCAACGGGGAAACCACGGTCGGCCCGCTGGGGCACGACATCTTGTGCAAGATCGTGGTGTCCAAGGGCGTGGGCCACGTCATGCGGCCTACGAGGATGCCAACGAAGGATACGATGGGGTGCCCTTCCCGAGAAGGGACTTCCTGCGCCCACGGCCCTTCGACCTGGACAGCGAGTCTGATTTTGGTGCCGTGGACCCCGGCCAGGCGCTGCGCAACGACGGGTTGAACCCACCGCCGGCGCCGGGCCTTTTGGGGCGGCTGCCCTCCCAGGCCGCTGCGGGAGCTGCTGCGGGACTGGCGGGCTCTGCTTCTGCCATTGCGGGGCACGGGCAAGACCTCTACAACGCCGCTCGCAGGGGGCGCAACTGGATCGACCGCATCCCGCGCACGCCCGAGGGCCTAGCACCCCCGCCTGACGAGGTGGCCCCTCCGCAAATCATCGGCCGGCCCAGCGAAGTGGAGCCGCTGCTGGAGCGAGCGGGCCAGCGGGCGCAGGAGGTGGAGAGGACGGCAGCCCGAGACATCGAGCAGTTCATGAGCGAGCAGGTGGCCGAGGCCGAGGCCACGGAAGGTTTCGCTTCCACGGCGGAGGCGGCTGCAGGAGCTGCAGAAGCGGCAGCGGCTGCAGAGGGCCCCCGAGCGCTGTTCGGCAGGCGGCACTGGGCACCGCTGCGGGCATGGGAGCGGCAGCAGGAGGTCTGGTAGTGGCCGGCGGGGCGGCCGCACTCGTGGGAACCGCATGGGCACTGCACGGCGGCATGGTGGCGGCAGAGCACCTTTTGGGCTGGGGCGGAGGAGGAGGCACGGACACGGACGCTTCGCGCCCTAGCTCCGCGCCAGACATCCAGACCTTGAATGGGATGCAGGAGTTTGGAGCTGAGCAACACTTCCAGCTCCGGGAGCAACGCCCGCGGACGCAGTTTTACCGCATGGACACTGAGGACGAATCGGAGCCGCGGGCACAGCCGCCCCCGAGGGTGCAGGCTCGTCCCGCGAGGCCCACGCGTTTCCCCACAGGCCTCAACCCCGCTCCCTTGGCGCAATCCTCAGGCAGCGAGTCCTCCCGCAGGCCTCGCATGCAGCGCCAAGCGGCGCCGCCCCCGTCCTTCGAGGCGCTTCGCAGCGCGAGCGAGCCGGAGGCCGCATGAATCTTTCGCTAGAAGTAAACAATATGGAGCAGGTGACTGCTGCAGTCAACGATGAGTTGGTTCAAAGCCTCGACTACAAGCTCCAGTCGAGCAACGTCAATTACGTGCAATCAAGAGCCGACGTGGTCTATTACCCTTCAAGTTTGAGCGTCTTCACGCCGACCACGAGCCGCGTGTGCCGCATTCCTCTGACCAGCGGCCAAAGTTTCGTGGACGGCGAGTCAGTCAAGCTCGGCTTCACGGTGCACAACAACTCCGACACGGCCACGCTGCAGCTCGCCTCGCCGGACCCGAGCTGCCTCATCGACCGCATCGAGGCCCACAGACGACTATTTGACCCTCACGGGCGGCACGCAGGGCACCTACCTCAACTCGGTGCTCTACACGGCTTCCGCCATCAGGGCAGACAACGGCATCGTCTCGAGCCCCGCGTACCTGGAGCTCATCGGCGGCAGCGTGGGCGTGCGGGCGCAGGGGGACCTGCAGGTCGTGTCCACCGTCAACAGCGGGGACGTGACGGCGGAGGTGCTGAACCTCGCGGCCGCGGGTAACGCGCGGCTCCTCGTGGCCTGCAACGCGGGCTCGGCCGAGCTCACCGCCTCTTCCGCGGGGGGCGTGCAGCTCTGCAGCATTTTGACCTTGCTGAAATGTTGGATTGCCCGGTTCCGCAGCTGGACAAAGCAAGGCTTTCGGAGTCCCTGGTGGGGTATGGCTTTCTTACCACAGCGCAGTACATCGCGGATCTTTTCTCTGCGGTGTCGGACTTGCCGAGTGTCATCAATGCCAGTTTTCCTGCAATGCTCAGCTACGCTGACCCAGATTATTGGCTGGGTGCACTTCTGCTCGCATTCGAGTCCCACCAAAAAGGTCCCCTGGAGCGAACGGCCGGGCTGCCCATTGTTATTGGTTTTCCTGAATCTGACAATAAAATTACTGACCTGCAGATCAATGTGCCGCCCGCAGCCATGGTGGCCTTCTTAGCTGGCCGCGCTTATCGGTGTCCCAAGTGCCCTACTACCAAATATGTGATGGACGCGCACAGTGGACTGCCACAAGTCACTGGCCAAGCCTCCCAAGAAGCCTTGCAGGCATGGGCCGCAGCTGCTAAGCACACGGACGTGGAAAAGGCCAGGCTTGCCCAGCCCAACCTGAATACGTTCCTAGGCATCACGCTGCAGGGCACAGAGACACTTGGGCAAAGGCACTATCAAGAATTTAGACCGGACCTCCCCCCTGCCCATTTCCTTGACGCCATCCGGCTTGCCCTTGCGGCCTCGAACACTTTTGGTCAGTTTATAACTTGGAATGGCCTGACACTTCTCACAGAATGGCTGTTTTTCTACGGCGAGTGTTGCCCCTCGAGTGCTTGCTCTCCACGCCCTTGGCTGCGCCGGTGGAAGTGAACACTGCGGCAGCCTCGCCGGAGGTCGTCAGCATCTCTTCTGAAACTAACGAAGGTTCTCCCTGCCCGATGGATGACATGTCGGATGCGGAGGACGAACCCGAGGCACAGGTGAATGATTGGCGCTTCTCGGAGCTGCGAACCACTGACCTTGCAGCTTTGCGAGAAGTGGATGTCTCAGCCCCTTTCCGACTGCCAGTCATCTTCGAAGCGCATTGGAAAGGGATCAGCACCACACCCACCAGGCATGGGCCAAAACGTCCCCGAAATGAGTGGTATGACGCAGCCACTGCTCACTGGGCTGCCATTAAGGGGCTCATGCGAGCTAAACATCCAACCAAGCAGCGACTCAACAGCTTCTGGTTTAAGATGTACTGCCATGGCACCTCCAAGGACCCTGATCCTTCGGCCCTACGTGCGGCAGTTACCTCCTTCCCCTATCAGTATAAGGACGAAGGTGTTGTGCAGTACCGGCAAATCCAGGAAGCTGTCCGGGTGATGTGGCTCGCGGCCCAAACCTCAATGACAAGATACAGAGGTATCCCCATTCCGGACGGCATCCCTGAGTGGGGGGTTGATGAGCAAGAGCTGCCCCCAATGCAGGTCATGCCCAGCCGTACGCGTTCCCACACCACCTCCGATGGCCACCGCTCTCGGCGTCCGGACTGGGAGGGCTCCTGGCAATAGACAGCAAGCTGTCATCTGAGGGCTCCTACTGACGCCATGAACGCGCCATTGAGTCCTTTCATGGCATGCTGCCTTGCGTGATGTGAGCCCTCACATCTCCTCGCCGATACATGCCGCAAGACTACCTCGGGATATTCTTGGTTTGGCAACCCTCTCGTGGTCTATGCCACGGATTGGATCGTGCCTGTCTTCGGTGTGCTCACTGCCTGCACCTGTGAACACCCTTCTGTGTCGGCCCTGCGTTGTGCCTATGGTGACGGGGGGCCTTTCTTTCGTGGTTGCTCCACTGGCCATCTGCCACGGACTGCCCTGGGCCGGTCCTGCCTGGACGTTCCAGCTCTGTCATCGGTAAAACGGCCAATCTTCCTTTCCTCTGCCCCCTCTAGGTGCGCAAGTTGCCTGCTTCTATGTGCTACGATCAAGTGTGAACCCCTTGGACTAGAGGGTTGGCCATCTCTCGTCTGGAAGGTGACACCCCCTTGGCGTACAACGACGTCTTGCCTATTGGGAGAGACCAGCTAGGGGATGCTGCTTCCGGGTTGTGGACACTCCTATGCGGAGATCAGGTTTCCACTTCCCTGGCAATGTGCCATCGAGCACCTGTGAACAACCTGGCCTACACGAGAGCCATTCTCGCCTGTGCTTGGGTTGCTACGGGGTTCCCTGCCTGCTTGGTGTCTATCTCTGCTTGCACAAAGCAGCCATACATGACTACCTCCCCATCGGTAGGTGGCCAAGCGTGATGTGAGCCCTCACATCTCCTCGCCGACGTCTGTCAGTTTGGGCATGGACGGTCTGAGTCTGTGTATTGAACCCTCAACCCTCACCGGCCAAGGAGATAGTTGCTTGGCCTTGAGTGCGAAGTTTCGACTGGGGGACTCTCCCGCTTCCTGCGGGGCAGGTGGGGTCCTCGCCTGCTTTGGTTCACCTGATGGCTCTGAGTGGAACGAAGCAGTCAAGCCTGCTTTGGCCGGCGGACGAGCTCTTGTGAGTCAAAAGAACGTGGCGCTTTGTGCTCGGAGAGGCTCCACTGGCTGACCACCATGGAGTACTCTGGGCTGGTCCTACCCCTTTGTTCTTGCCGTTAAGTCCCCACTGGCTGACCACCATGGGGCAACCTTATACTTCGGAACACGAAGGTTGACACCTACAACGTTCCGTGCTGAGGCACGACTTTGCTCCACCTGTGATGGCGAAACTGTGAACCATCTCGTGAACGGCCTTGGCTGGTGCTGAATGTATTCGCATTGGTGGCTGCATGACGGTGATGTGAGCCCTCCCATCTCCTTACCGACGTACCTCGCGGGTTTGGGTGAAGGGACCTGATGCGTGCCGATGCGCAGGCCAGTGCCAAAGTGGCGTAGCCTTGTGTGAGATGCCTGGACTGGGAGGTCCCTCGGTGTCATTAAAACCCTGTGGCGTTAAGGGTTTGATAACTCGCCGTGGACTTTCCCCGTGGAATCGGTAGCTGCTGCTACTCTCGCCCCCCCTCTGACCGTGCGCCGGCACCTCTGAGGGTGGGCCCTTGTGCGCCAGGTAATCGGTAGCTGCTGCTACTCTCGCCCCCCCCTCTGGCCGTGCGCGGGCACCTTTGAGGGTGGGCACTTGTGCGCCAGGTTGACTGGTGAACCCTGTGCTCGGAGCTACTCCACTGGCTGACCACCATGGAGTGCCCTGGGCCGGTCTGGCCTGGATTGTTCTTGCTGTTAAGTCCCCACTGGCTGACCACCATGGGGCATATGCACATCTTTCATCCCCCCTTGGGAGTCTGACTTGCAACATCCTTTCGCCATTGAGTGTTGGTTGTCTTTCCTTGACAACGATTAAGCGATCCGAACCTCGTCTGATGACCTCGGGTTGACTAACCGCTGTCGCACCAGTGGCTACATGATGGTGGTTTTGTGAATCTGGCAATGTCGCATTTTGCGAATCCCCCACAAGCTCTGTGCTTCCTTGTGCACCGGGACTTCATTGACGACCTCGAGTACTGAGTCCGTGGGGTATCTAGTAGTTTAGCGCGATTGCTCGCTTTGTTTCTTCGGTGTCTGTTCTTTGGTGGTTTCGTGTTGTGTCTGGCGGGTTGTGTGCGCTGACTCTGTTTCACCCTTTTTGTCGAGCCCAACAAGACCGGCCTACTGTGCTACTGATGTAGTAAAGAGGCGCCAGAGGAAAAAGGGTCGACTGCGCCATTTCGGGGTGGCCCTGCAGGAAGATAGGGCATCTTTCTTCCAAAACATGAGGACTCCAGGGAAGAGCTGGAGCCGCACTGGTCCACTGCCCTTTTTCCCAACAGAGGCCCACAGAGGGACGGTGTCCCCGTTGCCCCAGACCGACTCGGGCAGAGTAGGCAGCCGTACCACACTCCCCCACTGGGGCAAGATGTTTTTGCCTTTGGCACCATATCCATGCACAAAAGGAGGGGGTGTAACCTCGGCGTATCGGTTCGCCATGAATAAGTCAGGACCAGGTAGGATTGCCAAACGGGAGTGCGAGCCGCCGTAACCCCTGAGCAAGGGAAGAAATCCCTGTTCATACGGGCCTTGTCCCCATGACCTGCCTGACTGGGGGGGCGCCAAACTGGATGTCTGGCTCTGGCCGGCCAGTAGTAAGGTCGGCCGCTTTCCACGCAACTTCATGTATGTATCTTCCTAAAAGTGCCCACGCAAACACAAAGTCAGAATGCTTGTGAGCAGTGGTTCCGGCAAGAGGGGTGTTGCGTAGACATTGCCGATAATGGATCTGGCCCAACGGCACCTGCTCATGCATACCAGGCAATGGAGTGGGCACTTCACTGGGCATGATGACTAGCTGCAGGGCTCGGCTCAACGCAGTACCAATGGAGGTCACCGCACTAGCGACGTTGCTAGGGATGCAAAAGCGAGGGGGCCGGGGATTTTTGCCGTCCGGAGCA